TTAATTCGTTTTAGCTCCAAACTTCTTCATTTTCCCACCAATTTAATCCTACAAATAAATTATCCCACTTAGCACAATTCATAAAATTGATACTCAAAAAGGACAAATATAAATAATAAATGTAAGGAAATAATGATTAAAAATATGTATTTTTAGCCTCACATCAGTAGTGTATTGTGATGCTTCACAGATTGGTCTAGATTGTGTTTTGATGCAATATGGGAAAGTAGCTTAGGCTTCAAGGAAATTGAAGATGCAAGAGAAGAATTATTTGACTCATGATTTAGAGTTAACGGTGGTAGTGTTTGCTCTAAAGATTTGGAGGCATTACCTATATGGTGTTCATGTAGATGTGTTTACCGACCACAAGCGCTTGACATATGTGTTCACTAAAAAGGACTTGAATCTTCACCGAAGGAGATGGCTTGAGTTATTGAAGGATTACGACATGAGTGGTCTCTATCATCCAGGTAAAATGAATGTGGTGGTGGATGATCTTAATTGGCTATGGATGGGCAATGTTGCTCATGTTGAGGACTATAAGAGGAGTTGGCTCGTGATGTTTATAGATTGAGCCGATTGGGTGTTCGTTTGGTTGATTCCAATGAAGGTGGAGCCATTGTTCAAAATGTTTGGAATCATCATTTGTATCGGATGTGAAATCTAAGCAAGATCTTGATCAAGATATGGAGGATTTGAAGAAGTTTGTTTCTTAAAAAGCAATTGGGATTTCTCCCTAAGGGGAGATGATGTCGTTTGATATCAAGGTCGGTTATGCGTTTCGAATGTTGATGAGTTGAGAAATTATATTTTGACATAAGCTCACAGTTCTTGACATTCTATTCACCTGGGATCCACCAAGATGTACCGCAACTTGCGGGAGGTCTATTGGTGGAATGGGATAAAGAGGGATATTGCAGAATTTGTGGCTTTATGACCAAATTAACAAGTGAAAGTTGAGCATCACAAACCAGGTGGTTTAATTGAAAATATTAGCATTCCTACTTGGAAATGGGAATATTTGAATACATACATGATTACAGGCTTACCTCGTACTCATCATTAGTTTGACTTGATTTTGGTAATTTTGGACCGAATGACAAAATTAGCTCACTTTCTACCCCTAAAGACTTCATTTTCAGCCAAGGAATATGTCAAGCTTTATATTCATGAAATGGTAAGGTTACATGGAGTGTCCTTATCTATTATCTTCTATCATGGTACTCATTTTACGTCTCAGTTTTGGAAGTCATTACAAAAGGGTCTTAGTACTCAAGTGAAACTTAACACGACTTTCGACCCTCAAATTGATGGACAAGTCTAGAGTACTATCTAGACCATAAAAGGTATGTTAAGAGCTTGCTTGATTGATTTCAACGGTGATTAGGATGACCATTTTCCTTTAATCGAGTTCGCTTATAATAATAACTATTATTCTAGTATTGGGATGGTCTAGTTTGAGGCTCTTTACGGTAGGAGTGTAGTTCTTTTATTGGTTGGTTTGAAGCTAGTGAGGTCACTTTGATAGGGCCCTAGTTGGTGCATAAGGCTATACTTATTAGGGAAAGGTTGAAAATGGCTAAAGTCGACAAAAGTCTTATACTGATGTTAGAAGAAGCGAGCTTGAATTTAAATTTTGATGATTGGAATGATTTAAAAATCTTACATATGAAGGATGTGATGAGGTTTGGAGAGAAAGGTAAGTGTAGTCCCCGATATGTGGGCCCATATTAGATTTTGAGGTGTATTGGCAAGGTTGGTTATGAGTTGGAGTTACCTAGTGACTTAGCATCAGTACATATGGTATTCTATATCTCTTTGTTGAGAAAGTGTGTTGGAGATATGACATCCTTAGTGCCTTTAGAAATTTGAGAGTTAAAGAAAATATTTCTTATGAAGAGGTTCTGGTTGAGTTTTAGACCGTCAAGAAGTTGCTTCTGTGAAACTTCTTTAGAGGAATTAGTTAGTTGAGGGTTGGACTTGGGTGGCCGAAGATGATATGGTGTCTCGGTATCCTCAACTCTTTCACTGCGCTCCTATTCTAGCTTGAGGTATTAGTTTCTCATGGTTCAGTCTTTCAAACATGCATTTTAGTCATTCTCATGTTTCCATATGCATAGATGTTCATGAAAAACTTGTTTTTTGATGTTATGATTTAGCTTGGGTGATTCTCCATGTATATGTGCATTATGATGAGAATTGCATTCATGTTGGGGATGTTTGTTTCTCTCATACTCTATTGATTCTAGCTTGAGTCTCATTCGAGGGCGAATGTTCCTAAGGGGGAGATACTGTAACACCTCAGAAATTGGAAAGTTGGATTTAAAAGGGGAAGTTCAGTTTTTGGCACTGGTACTTTGATCGACGAATCCCATCTACGGACTATAGAAGGGCCTACGGACCGTAGAAAGTGAGTCATAGAAGTTGAGATGAGTTTTGGGAAAATTTATGTTTCTTAAGTTTGACCTACGACTTGAAAAGACAAGTCATTGGATGTTTGACGGGTCGTATAAATGACCCGTATAGTTGATTGAGAGTTTGATTTAAGACCCCAAGCCTATGGAAGGATTTGATTGGTCGTATGTCGTTTCACAGGTCGTAGAAAGCACCCATAAAAGGAATCTAGACTTGATGGAACTTTTGGACATGATTTTGGGTTCTACGTAAGTGGTCTACAAACCGTACAAGAAACTAAGGATCGTAAGATAGTTTTGTGGGAAGTAAAATAAAGTTTAGGTTTCTGAAGTTGTTCTACGGTTAACTAGTATGGACCGTAGAAAGATCTACGGACTACAGGTCCCAACCGTAGGTCACTTCCAACAGTTAATTCTTAAGGGTATTTGGGTCTTTTACTATGCATTTAATACCTATACTATGTCATTTTGTCCCTAATTTTAAGACCTATGACTACCTTTCAACTCCTAATTCTACCCAAACCCTCTCATTCTCTCAAATCCCCAACTCTCATGCAAGTTTATCCTCTCCAATTGTCTCTCAAGCCCAAGGAAGAAAGTTAGGTTTCCAAGCTCCAAGTCTCTTTTTTCTCCATTGCTCTTGGGTTTTGTTTATCAAGGTGTGTGAGGATTCATGAATGGATTGCATTCATCCATTGGGTCCCAAAAGATCTCCAAGTACCAATTCAATTTCACTTAATTTTGATTAGGATTCATGCAATCTCCATGGGTCTTATTTTATTTTGAATTAATTATTCAATTTCAATCTTCCTATGCATGTTTAGATTCAATTGCATATTACTTCAATTGAGTTCATGTGCGCCTATGCATTATTCATTATTTTGACTATGAATTTAAGAAGAAAGCTTATGATTTCATGAATATGATTTATGAAAGTTTATGCATGTTTTCTGATTAAGATGTTTATTGTCACACCCCTATTTTTTCAAATGATGTTTTGAAAAAAGAGTTTTTCCAATTAAAGCGATATTTTGAAACGAGATTATTTATTTTTAGAGTCGTCACTTGAAATAGAGTTTTGGTGCTCCAAGTCACCTTAATTTAGATCCCTCATCAAAAGGAAATAACTTTATTTTAAATTAGTCCGTGAACTAGAAAACCAGATAAAGAATTATGTTGACCGAGGAGAAGGTGTCAGTCCCGTGGGTCTAGCACAATCACTTTATTTACTTATATTTGGTTTGAATTTTTAATATCTTATGTGTATGGCCTTAAGAAAAACTTATTATCCACCTTCTTTGATTTATTTTGAACTGTTTAAAAGTGTCTCGTTTTATTAGTGTGTGGTGTATTGGTAGCAGCACTTTCCAACCTTACCACAAATTATTTATCATCACATAAAAAAATCTTAATGATTTTTTTGAATTAAAAATCCAAGACTATTCTTATGGAGTAAAATGTTTTTCTTTTCTATTTTATAACAAATTTAAATATAAAAATTGCATCACTCATGCTTTTCAACCATCAAAACAAATAAATAGACAAAACTTCACACATAAATCTAACAAAGAAATAAGAATATTTAGTTAATCCTCTAACAAATAGAAAGAATAAACCTGTCAAAACAAAATATTTGAATCATACCCAAGACAAATAAATCTGTGCGGAACATTATTTTTACTAATCAAGATTAAATATTATTGTACACTAACTAATATAGTTACTTTATGTTGAAAAACTTAGATCCTAATAAGTAGTTCAACTAACAAAAAGAAATGAAACTATTAAATAAAACAACGTTGGCATATAATTATTTTTTATTTAAATAACAATCAGATATTATATTAATTTACTCTAAATTTGATGAAGTAAGAAATTTCAACATAATTTCCATTATATCGTCAAGGAGTCATGATTAGTTAAACACATATAAAATTTGAGAATTAACATAGTACTATGCACCCTATCCAACCAAACTGATGAATACATGACCCGGATGCATAAAAATATTGATGCATTAAAAGGTTGTTGGCCCCTTTAATATCCGATGAGTCTTATCCATTTTTGATGGATGAAGGGGAGAAGATAGAGAAGAAGGACATGCACATTGTGGTATGGTATTGGTTCAGTTTCATTAGGCAGCAATATCATGCCATCCCAAAACAAATCAATACTCCAACATCCAAAGGCAGTGCTAGTGGGCACAATAGTTAAGAAGGAAAAAATCAATGTAGGTGCTATCTTTGTGGAAGATATGTTGCTATGGGCCAGGAAAGAGCAGAAATCTCTCCCTTTCCTGGTGCGTATTATGCATTTATATGAGAGAGCCGGAGATTCCTTTCGGGGGAAGACAAATGTGAGGATCAGACCGGCCTCCTCTGGTGATATTCGGTGGTTGAGGCGGGGTACTTATAGGATGGAGGGCCAAGGACGAGTTGGCCGAGAAGACATACGAGGAGGAGTTGAGGAGCGACGAGCATGGGATTGCTCAGACATTGACTGAGATGTAGGAGACCAAGGAGATCATTCTTTAGACGACCCTGGAGCTATCCCTTTTGGAGAATTCAATGGTTGGTTCTAGTGCAGTCACTTCAAATTTCCCCATCTCTTCGACTGCTGAGATGGGCATTGATGCCCAACTGAGCCTTCCCTGCCGCCTCCAGTGATCCTATTGCCGAGTACTAATTCCCCTATTGAGGCTTCCCAGCCTGAGACTCCAGATGAGAGTGTTCCACGTGCATATCCTGTCAGGAACCCTTTGATCTCATCCTCCTCGTAACTTTGTTATATGGTATTAAGGACACTACTGTATTATTTTGGTGGGGTGAGGGACCTTGAGCCAATAGTCCCCTTTTTGATTATATTTTGTTATTTTGAGTTTTGAATAATTGTAGTACTTTACTTTTATTTTTATTATATTGCTCTTTCAGTTAAAGTGTGTCTCTTGTTTTTATTTCATTCTCTCTTGAGTTTGCAACTCCCATGAGTTTAAAATAGTGAAATGCTTCGAGGTTTCATTGATAAAAATTTGAGGATCGATTGTATTTAATATTGATGTATTGAATAGTACTCATGATGAGCATGTTGTATAATGTTGGTGTTGGGAAAATGAAATCGATGTGGTTGCACTTTTGAGCGATCTCTTTGAAACTTTGATTGACTAGCTGTATTTTGATGTGAGCCATGCAATGAATATCACATGTACATTTTTTATCTTTTTTGAGATATGCTAAATGAGTTTATTTTGAAGTGCTATGTGTGGTGTGGTCTTACTTGAAAGCATGTTTGTGGAGTCCTAGAATTTGCCTTGTTAGTCCAATTGTTTAAATTTTGGTCAATGATCTTGGGAAACAATTCAAAGAGGGAACCCAAATGTCCATACTCCTTTGTGACTACCTTGTGAGGGTGTGTATCTATTTTGGCACAATTTGAGCTTAACCGATTTGTTGGCAAAGACCAAAATAAAGCCTGTTGAACCAAATTTTCCCTACCTTCTCACCAAAAATCCCTTTCAAAGAACGTTATGTTTGGATAGCCAACTTAGGCCAAAAGCCTAAGTTTTGGGTGGAAAGGAAGGAAGAATGAAAGCCAAGTGTGTTACACCCCGAAAATTTCGAAGCTAAGGCCCGAACCACTCTTTAATTGACTGTAAAATGGAATTTGTTATGACCTAGGGGTACACCCTAGATGTAGCATTAGCCTATGATACACCGAGAGACCCCATACAAGCCACTTAGCATACATAACATAAGAAATAGAACAAGAGCGGTAAAACAATATTTCAAGTCCAAGCATTTTATAAAACAAAGCCGAAGTCTAAAACACTTGTCTCAATAGCCATTTACTACAATAGAATAAAATTGGGCCTAGCCCATACATCATATTCAAAACTGAAAATAAGAAGGAAACTAAGAACAATGAAAATCTGTCCTCAAAGCAAGAGGACTCACCAAGCTCGGGAATCAACAAAATCAACCTCTAGCCATGAAACTAAGAACCCTGAATATCGGACCCTACATTTGGGGAAATATAGGCAAGAGTATGCGTTGGAACAAAACAATGTACCAAGTATGATAGCCATGCATAAACCATTTAAATCATGCTAAAATGGGACATTTCATGACATGCAATTAACCAAGCTAAAACATGATATAAGAAGGTTAGAAAACATAAATCATAAAACATGGTCAATGCAAGCTAACAACTTCAAAACCTTTGAACACATACGAGATACTTCTTGAAGTAGCCTTAGTTAATTATTAATGTGGGAAGTAGCCTTAGCCGACATAAATACCATGCAAGCTATAACATGATCCCTCGGTGTCTCCCACACCGAAAAGGGTTGTACTACTTGCCAAGGTAAGGACCATGAACTTCTAGCTTAAGTTGATCCACTAGCCAATGTCTATCTAGACAATCATCCTATGGGCGAACATACGTAAGGGATAAGGAGATTGCTTCTAGAAACCCGGCCTGTACTAATGGGAGAGCTTCCATCCTCTCGGTGCTAAGCATAAATCTCACGAAATAATCATTTCTTACTTGTTCTCATTATCCATGGAAGGTCATGTCATCTTGCAATTCCAAACTAAGTCATAAGTCATCCATGGAAGGGTACAATTAAGTAGCTAGATTTCATTAGGATAGCTCTTTATCTTTGATTTAATTAGGTAAGAATACCTTACAACCTTACAATCCTTATTATGTGAGAAAACCTTTAACAATCATACTTTCACGTGTTTATGAGAAAATCCTTTCAACTGCACAACCACAACATCATCATTGATACTTTACTTTCAAAGCATCCTTAAAACATTTACATAGATTTCATAAGAACATGCATAATCTCATAATTCACCTTTCAAGGTTCAAAATTCACTTTCAATCACCACATCTAGAAAACAAGGATTAGATAAGGATTTCATCATAATTTACGTGATTCTATCACTTCATGCTTTATTTCATAAAACTCCTCTTTCATAAGCAAAGACCCACATCATATCAACATAATTTGGAAAACATGGGGTTTCATGGGTTCATGGGGAAATCATCATAAAATCATGGTATTTCATCAATTCATGCATAAGAGATCATAATTTAATCATTTAAGTCAATAATCAAGAGAACCCATGGCAATTGAAGAAAATCCTAACTTAATTGGGGATTTCTAACTTTGAAAATAGGATAATTTGGGAACTACATGGATGAAAACTATCATACAACAAATTAGCCTTTTAACAACCATTTCTTAACGAAGGGACATAAATTTTGTCGTTATAAGTATACTTATAGCGACTGAATTTTTACCCGGTTGTTAAAATTTAAGTTTTACTCAAAACTGACAAAAGAATAATATTCAGTTCTTATAAAATACTAGTATACGTACCCGCACGTTGCGTGAATATTATAAAATGTTAAAGTTAAAATTTAAATTTATTTTTTTAATTTATTATTTAAATAGTAATTAAATATGTGAGATGAGGAACATGTATTATTTTAAAAAATATAAAGAAATATATATTTTTTGAAATATATGAACAATATATAAAACTTTGACTGAATATTTAAAATTTATTTCGCGTCAAGTTATTAAGGACATTTGAATGAAAGCAAGCCATGCTATAGTAAAAGTACAGTAAAAGTTTCGTAAATTTAAATAATGCACAACTTAAATATATTAAAAAAATTATACTATAATTGATTTACTATAAATATGTACAATAAATTTTGAAGAAAAGAATAATACGTATTAAATAAAAATTAATATAAATAATAATAACTACTAAAAACCTAATATAATTTGAGATTAAATTTAAAAATGTGATATAAATTATATTTATTATACTCTCAACAATTAAATTAATTTGAAATGGAGGGAATAAAAATAATTTATTAATTTAATAATGTATTAAAGTAAGAAGTGACAAAGAAACAACTTTTTAGGAATATTGATGCGCGTGCCTTTAGTATTTATTTATTGCAAGTCATTTATGTGTGTATTTGTATCTATATGTATTTATTTGTTTTATTAAAATCTGGCCAATATTAGTGAATTTGAAAAAAACTAAAATAAAATCTACTTTTGGACAACCCACCAAAGTCCAAAGGTGTGTGCAAAAGGTAATATATATTTCTAATTGGAAAGAAAAAAGGAAAAAACGAAAAAAACAAACAAAATGGATCTCTTTGGATGGAAACTAAAATATGAACACAATTTTCTAGATTTGGAAGGTGAGGTCCCTCTTCCGAGTGTGGATGGACAAAGATAATATAGGGATTCTATAAGCTTTTAGTGTCGATCTTCGCTAAGTTTCTGCGTAATTTGTCAACGCTGTGAGTGCTCTTTCTTTCATCTCTTTAGTAAATCTTCGATTGTCCTTTCTACTATGAATCTCTTCTGCAAAATTATGATAAAGTTTATTTTACAATTTCAACATTTGAACATGCAAATGATAACACAGCATAAAATTGACTTTCTTCAAGTAGGTTAAGATTAATAGATATGGCATAAAAGAATTGATCGGAGTTGTTTTCAGATCTAGCATCGTTCTGTAAAAAATCCAATGTTCTGTGAAATGGTGAGTTAAATGTTTGACATTTTTTATATTGATCCTTCTTAATGAGAACTTCCATTGAAGAATATATTAGCATGAAGTAGTTCTTGTTTTGGATTTATTTTTATGAGATTTATCAGGTTATGTCTCCTTCAGATTTATTTGGGATCGTAAGATCTGAGTTAATAGTTTATATTTAATTTAAATTATAAAGTAGTAAATGCATGTTATTTCAAAGCTATAATAAGCTTATGTTGATACAATTTTTGGTAATTTATTTGGAGATTCAGAGATTTCGTATATGATAATCTCAGTTTTAGTTTTCCTAGCTAACCGCAGTAACTTGTACTTGACAATTTTTAATGTGAATTGTTTGAACTTTGAAGCAATTAGATTAGCTATGTAAGTAAAAAAATGAGAGTTCATTTCATGTTAAAAATTGCTTTATTTAAAATTATAAAAGGTTGTTATTATAAATAGTTAGGTCAATTTAAAAAGTAGATATGATAAGTAGAAGCACAAGTTGTTAAAAAGATATGATAAGTAGAAGGTATTTGATTGTAATTGAAATTAAATATTTATTAAATTGTGAGTTTAAGGGATATGTTGATTTAGAATTGGTGATGTATCCACAATATTGCACATTGTACATGTTATTAAAAGCTATCGACATAGTTTTTTTTGTATATATTATCAGAAAAAGTTATCATTTTCTTGTTCTCCAAATCATAATTTGAAAAAATTACCTTTATAATATAGAAACTTGTCACTTTTATTATTTTGAGAATGAGTAAAGTTAAAAATTAGTAAAGATTGAAAATGTGTGAAGACTTATAATTTATTTGTACTTTAAATATGGATAAAACTATCTGATAACTAAGAAGTTTTATTTATTATCCATGTTTAATAGTAGTATTAATATATAGATTTGTGTAGTTTATGATAATTTGAACAATGTTCTAATACAATTTCATTCTTAATGCATTCCAACTGAATAAACTTTCCTACTATATTTTCATATATGCTTTGTAATAAGTGTTTTGTAGATGACGAAAAAGTTGATTATGGGAAGAAATTTTATCTGCTAGTGTATTGATGGCAAATATCAGTGATTATAGTGAGCTACTTAAGGTTAGTACATATCTACTATTGTATATTTCAAAGTAATTTGGACTTTCTTTATTTTTTTTATTAATGTGTACCTGCTTAATGTTAACTTAATAAGTTAAAATACATAAGTATTGAAATCTAAAACAGATATAACAGTTATTGTAACAAACACAACAAAAAATCTAGTATATATATAGAATTACAAAATACAATGTATGTCAAATTAGATTTTGGAATACTTCTTTATATACTACATTTGTAGCTTCATTACTTATTTGCCCATCTTCATCGTAAGAAAGTATTTGTAAGCCCTTTCTATTTGTCACTCTGGGAAGAGCAACATAAAATTGTCCATGTGTAAACAATGGCTTCTTCAGAATAAGCCCACATGAGATAAAGAGTGTTCTTGAATCCTATTGATTGTCATAGAAAATGATACAGTTATAGGAAAATGTCTTCTTTGAAACTTAAAAGGAATTCTAGAATCTGAAGGTGTTAAAGTCATTTTGGAATAAACACCTTCTGGCCAACCATCTCTCCAGATAAAACCTTTGCTTCAATTACTTGATTTCCAAGTTTAGTAACAATCAATCTAGTTCCATTACATAATCCTGCTGACTGATCAATATTTCTTAGAAACATCACTGGAACCCCAACCTTTAAATTGATTGAATGATTTGGAACGACAGAACATTTAATATTATTCAAAAATTTAGGAGTGTGTACATGTTCTAAAGCTGAATAAGTATGATCAGACCGACAAATTTTATCAGATCTTAAATATGATTTATCAGGATTATGATTAAGGGTGATCATATACTGATTTGATTCAACCATATCAAGAGTTGGAGCAAGAATGGCTCTTTGTTGAAGGTACTCGATATCATTGCAACTAGTGATGAAATCCGGATAGGCACTTTCAATAATAAATTGTATTGGATCAGTATACTCATTTATTAGAAGATCATTTGGTATTAAAACTTTGTCTATTCCATGAATTGAACTTCCAATGCTACCATCCCCAACTTTCAAGATCCAATTAGAAAAATCTCTCAATTCTTCCAAATGTGTATCGTTCGCATTGCGTTGCAACCTCATATTCTTTGTTAGAGTCAATAGTTGACAATGTGTCCATAAATATGATGAATTTACAGTTGCATTAACAATATCTTGTCTGGTACCTTTTGGGATAACGGGGATAGCAGATTGGAAAATTTGCTATTTTGATCATACTTTATCTACTAGATAAATGAAATTCAGCAACAGGTTGTTTATGAGGAGCTTTACTCCACATATCACATAGTTTAAAAATAAGCTTTTGAAATATGTTGAGATAAGTCATGGCCCTTTTGAAAAAAATTGCATACTGTTTTGAAAACCCATTTAACCTTTAATTTCTTCAGCAACTTCATGATTTTGCTGTTAAAGTTTCTGAAGCCTAAGAAATTTGGTTTTAGCAAATTTAGTGAAACTACGAGTATAATTGTATATGTTAAGGCAAGTAGTATTTCTCTTTTAGAGCTTGTCCATGAGATCAAAAATAAAAATATTGATATTGAGCATCCTGTATGACCCTTCAAAGGAGTAGATATGGATCTTTATGTGGTAAATGGTGGCTCTTGAGGATTTGTTGTTGCACATCAAGTTTGTGAAGCAGAACTCAATGGTTGTTAAACATATATATTGGAAGAATGAAGATGAATTGCTTGTTGTTTGGTGAGTTTAAAAAACATGATTTTATTTATTGGACACCATAATGGTGTAGTTTATATTGCTGGAACTTACTATAAGTGTGGATACTTAAGATACTTATAGGTGTTTTTTTTTTTGTCAAATTTGAGCTTTAGCATATCTGATTTCTATTCTGAATATATCAGTTCAGAAATTGGGATGAATCCACCATATTTTTCGCCAAAGTGTGGCATCTTTTTTAACACAAGGGAATAATGTATGTCTCTTAAATTGTACTCACGTATTTGTACAAATCGGCTAATAGTGTGTTGTTTACATTTTGTATGAAGTAAAGTTAAATTTAATGATCCTACCGTTACTAATGAATTTAAAAATATAAGTCGCTTCATAGAAAAATAATAATAATAATAATAATAATAATAATAATATATATATATATATATATATATATATATATATATATATATATATATATATATATATATATATATATATATATATAAAAGATAGATGATAGTTACAAGATATGTAAAAGATACAACTCCTTTAGACAACTCATCAGTAATAGAATGATGTTTTTAGAACTTGTCTGGGAGTGCCTCTCATATTTATAGTCACATGATGAAATCAATATGCAAAAATATTCATAACATATAGTTTTGATATTATTTAGAATTATTATTAAAGAAAAGAAGAATTAACAACCTTGCAAATGTTGAAAATACATGCCTAAGTAAATATACATAATTTTCTAACCTGTCTTTCATGAATTCATTAGGTTGATGTAGATTAGGATTAATCCAGATTTTGGTTTGATACCAACAACTACGTACTGAGTAATTTTCTGATGATTGATATTATACAATGTCAAAATATTTATACAAAATAAATTTGTATTTTAAAATTGTATTACAGAAATTACAATGTTTAAACCTCTAAATTTGTGAGCCTTCATTAATTGACAAACCACATTCAAAGGTTCATCTGCAGATTTCGTGAAATGTGGTTGTATTTGATCCGCAAGTTCACCCCATAATGTTATTGACAGTCTATTTTTACTGTATTAATGAAATTTAATTACATTTTAATATATAAATGATAAATAAATATATATAATAATAAACTAAATTTCAAATAATTACTTATCATCTTCTAGAACAATATTGATGAAATAACTATTGTTATCTCCTTGCTGTATCTGTTGAATTGGTTGATATGAACATGTCCAACAACATCTGCAAAGAAGATACATTAGTAATTTTGTAAATTTAAAAGCTAATGAATGGAATAACATATCATTATTACCCAAAAGCTCCGTCTCATCAACATTGTGATAAATTGTCAATTGGTCAAAGGTGCGGATATTGAATATATCCATGTGAAATGAAGGATCTTGAATTTCCTTAATATTTGTAGTCAAAGTGAAGTTAAGTTTGTGTTTGTGTGTTGTTGTCTTAAATTTCATGATGTTTGGGGAAACCACAAAGTAATTCATTCGAAAAACACCAAGTCATATAGAATTTCTCTGAAATGCTTAATTACAGACTTTCAAGTGATGCATGAATACGATCGCCCTGAAATAAAACAAAATATTGTTTTATGATAATTTATATCGAGTATATAAAAACTATTTGTACGAGTATTATCTTTTCGTCCTGTAAAATTATCTCCAAAGTGTAAGGTATTTTTGGTTTGAATTTGTCAAGAACTATCCACAATCGAATAATACGAACTTTCAAGTTCCAGTGCATTGATTTGGATGTAATTTCTGAGATTGTGTGAAATTGCAAAGCCATGTATATTATTGAATATCTCCGAACAATCGCCAAACATTGTAAAGGTATGTAAAGTTATTTCTGAAAGATGTCTATATATAGTACGTGAATTTCAAGATGCAATGAATAATTGTAGTTAAAGTTTCCTTGTTTATTGGATGGTTATTGAGAAGTTATAAAACTGCTTGTATTTATCTGTAAAAATATATTTATTGTTTGATATAAATTTTAAATACAAAATAATGATATATTAAGACTTGTTACGTATTATATATACTTATCATCTATCTTGAATAAATGGCTTATAACATATGATGTTACAAGCTATACTCATCATCTATATTTATTAAATGGTTTATAACATATGATGTTACATGCGAATATTTTTGTATATATTAATTTAAAATTTATGCTTTTGTAATTAAAATAATGTATTTATAGATAGATGATGTAATAGTTAAGTAATGATTTGTTTTTGTTTATTTACAATGTCGTGTAGCTACCTTAGAATTTATAATATATGATGCTACAGGCGATACTCATTAGATAGATGATGTAATAGGTAAATAATAATTTGTTTTTGTTTATTTACAATGTTGTGTAATTACCATAGAATTTATAATATATGATGTTACAGGCGATACTCATCATCTCTCTTGATTAAATGGTTTATAACATATGATGTTACATGAGAATCTTTTTGTATATATTCATTTAAAATTTAAGCTTTTGTAATTAAAATTATGTATTTGTAGATAGAAGATGTAATAGTAAAATAATAATCTATTTTTGTTTATTTAAAATATATTGTGTAACTACCGTAGAATCTATCAATTTGTAATTAATTATTTATAATTTTTTTGTTTATTTACATTGTTGTGTAACTACCGTAGAATCTATCCAATTGTAATTATTTAAATAATTATTTATTATTGATTATTTAAAATTTAAAATTCTAAAAAATTGTGGTAATGACATGTGTCATTTTTTCTTCTCCATATATATATATATATATATATATATATATATATATAATATAGCTAAATAGAAAATAGATTTATTATTGATTATTTAAAATTATATATAGTTACCGTAGAATTAAATGGGTCTAAATATAAGTATTGAGATGTGTCTATATATTTAATTAATTATTGATTAATTAACATTATTGAATAATAACTTATTATTCTTTATTTAAGATTTTATGTAACTACCGTAGGGTTAATTGGGTCTAATAAATGTTTCTAATTGTAATTATTGACACGTGTCTATATTTATTTATTTAATTACTGATTATTTAAAATTAGTTAAATTTTAAAATTTTAAAAATTTGTGGTGTAGACATGTGTCATTAAAATTCGAATTATTGACATGTGTCTATATTTATTTATTTAATTATTGATTATTAATTATTTAAAATTCTGAAAATTTGTGGTGTTGACATGTGCCATTTTTTCTTCTCCTTTTATATATAGATAGATAAGACACTGATGTTGAAGCCGTAAAAAAGTCAAGCACAACTTTTCCCCACTATATTTTTCCGCAACTTCCATCACCCCCCTCCCTCCTAAAAATAAGAAATATCTTAACACGATCACATTATTTATTTTCTAGGTGATAACTCCCAATGTCCACTCTCTGCCCGTTGGATCCACAAACAAGCTTGCAATTTCTCTTTCATAATCAATGTTAAAAAATTATGAAATAAATATCAGGTGAGTCAAATTCTCCAAATAACTTATTTTCTCAATAGAATACATGAAATATGATTAATCTGATCTCTTTCATTTTTAACTTTATTGATCCATGTTTGTGATGTTTTTCTCTATTCATTTAGAGGGGTGGTGGGGATGGAAAATTATTAATGAATTAGATTGCTAAGGGGTAAAAATAATTGTATTTTGTTATCAGATTTTAGTATTTAAAATAGTGGTTAAATGTAAGAGATTCTTATTACACCATTAAATATCCCAAATTTTAATTGCATTATATAATATTGGGAAGAAGATGTAGAAAATCTGTATAGTAGACGAATTTATTTTACAGACCTTTACAAACCAAAAATATTTCTTGACCTGCTAAACAAATGTAATAATCCAGATTTTGAGTGAAAAAAATTCCTTACTAGAATAGTACTTTATTAATTAAATTTTCTTGAACTAATTAGTTATATAATATAATTATCAAAAACATTTGGTGAAAAATCTTTACAAAATATGGCCAAGAATTTGAAAATTTTGGGTCTTATTAAAAACTTAATGACTAGATATACTACTAATAATGCCTTGAGAGTTGAAAGTGTAGTTTTTTATAGACATTGCAGTCGTAGTAATAGTTATTTGCCTTCCAATGATGTTTGGGTCGTATGGTTAGATGTAAAAACTCTAACCTTGATCTATTTACTCAAATTGAACATTCAATATGATTGTTTAAATAGTCACTTTCTACATGCTTCTTTTATTAATATAACAATGTGAGTAGCATCATCCTATAGTACATATTTGCCCACTTCCTTAAATAAAGTGCACAATTTATTGCTTATTCTCTAACAATATCCTCTTATGAAAGATGTTGGTCATAATTCAGTTTAAAATTTTATACTGTTATTGTGCATTAATTTTTGTAGGACCT